GCTGCAGGGTTTCTTTGACAAATCTTTTTGGCCTATTAGAGCGGCAAGTGAGCGTGTACCTGAATGAGCAGCTAGAGAAGCGGTGCCGGAGGAATCATAGCAGAATCGCACAGAGTCGATGCGATGAGGTAGAGGAGCTTAGTCAAAAGGCCCATCTGCTACGAGCTTCCTGAATCCTAACAGCTGAATTATTGACGCGGATTTACTGTATGTCGGCTTTTCGTTGTTGTGGAACATTCAGGTGATCGTCATCTTTGCTTTTCAAGTTTCTCGAACCTTCTCAACAGCTGTTATCACACACACTAAGCCGTAGATCTAATCCCTCTCTTGAAGGTTATCAAAGGTAGTTTCAAACCCAGTCAGGTTTCACAACATCTGTCGCAGATAGGCTGAGCTTCATCTGATGAGTCTGCGTGTAAGCACATGCCGAAGTGCCGATACGAGGCATCCAACGGCATTTCTTGGATCATGATTCATGACGAGAACGTTCTGTATTTGAACGATCACATTAACCTTCTACACGATTAATCCCGTAATATCCGCTCTGGCAATTTGACCATGTCTCTCGCACCACCCTTTACTCAAGAAACCGCTCGCGCTAAGGTCAAGAAGGCTCAAGACCTCTGGAACGGCCAGTGCGTGGTGTCATGACTAGCTCTCATCGTTACTAAACTGTGCCAGAAACCCCAAGGTGATAGCACAAGCCTACACACCCGACAGTGTTTGGCGCAACCGATCTTCTTTCCTCGCCGGCACGGCAGACATTGAAGACTTCTTGACGAAGAAGTGGGAAAAAGAAAAGAGCTACCGGCTGCGCAAAGAACTCTTTGCCTTTTCAGATGACAAGATCGCGGTCCAGTTCTGGTATGAGTTCCAAGATGCCCACGATGGCATGAAATGGAAGCGATGCTATGGCCTTGAAGACTGGACGTTCGCAGAGGACGGGAAGATGCGTAAGCGGCAGATGAGCGGCAATGACATCGAGATCGATGAAGCCCGTGAGTATTTCCAGCCTCCGTTTATCTTTAGTTTATGATCGGTAGCATTGCTAAGGTCTATGTAGAGCGATGGTTCAAGGACGGCGTCGACGTGAACGCAGTCGAAATTAGCGAGTCTCATTGGTGATTGATGTTCTTGGTGTATTCAATCAAGACGGGTGGGTATCGAAACGCTTGCGAGGAGGGGAAAATTCATGCGATAAGTTCGTTATATGGCCTATGCTGGAGGAGTATCGTGGATAGCGACGAGAATGAATTTGGGATCTTGAGTTGTTAACAGAAGCCCCGCCATCGGATGCGTGAGGGACATACCTGGTACAATGACCAATTCATTCTTCCGTGTTCGCAGCCTAAGAAGTTTGACCTCGTCTTCCTTGTCCAGCTCGTCCACAAGGGTCCCCGCTGCCGTCAGGAACGCCCAGACCATGCTGGCGACATCCTCAGCGCTGTGTATCCCGCTTTCTTTCCTGCCGTTCGAGTAGTTGTCCGACGCAGCTTCCCCGGAGGCTGGCAGAGTACTATTTGGGTTCGCCGAAGAGCTGTTTGATATGAGACCAGAAGTGCGTATTATTGTGCCGTTCTCGCGCGACAGTATGAGGGTGCTCTGAACGCCGGGCTTTTGACTCAGTCGCGTGAGTAGCGAAAGTGTTTCGTCTGGCTGCGCGCATGTTAGTAAGCAGTATTTGAAAGCGCGATAAGGTACATACAGCGTTCTGGGCCATGGTTTGTGATGTGTGCCAGAAGAATAAGTGATGCAGGCGCGGTTCACAGCGCGCTGATGACATCGGCGTACACGACCGCGGCTGGACCCTGCCAAGAGTCGACCAACTCAGGCCTCTTCGGTGTTAGCGGCATCTGTGGATCCTCAATTTTCCGTTCATCAGCAGAGAACGCGTCGTTCGCTCATTGACGCGCATAATTTCGTTCGCTCTCTCGACATTGCGCGCAATAGTAAAGCCTTACGAAATCACGACTCTGCTAAGCGAACCGCCAAAACTAATCTAGTCCGTCGCCATGACCAACAGCTCGAAGAAGAAGAAGGAGAATAAGAAGAAGGACTTTCAAGTAAAAACGACCAAAATCGCATATCCCGAGCCGCAATACTAACGGAGCCAGAAAGCAAAACTGAAGGTCGGAAAGGCGAGGCCCAAGGCAGCAAACAGCACAGATACGAGCTTCCGTGCGAAATGTAAGGTCTACCTTATCATATCTCTCTCTCTTAACTAACGTATCACAGCGATATCTCTCAAGCAACAAGCACTCTCCACTAGTGCCCCATCTTTAGAAGCACAATGCGCACATTATCTGGGCTTGCTTAATCACAAAGCAGACACACAGCGAAGAGAATCCTTAGCCTTCTTGACATCAGCCATCGCAAACAACCCGCCTACGGTGCCATTGCCGCAGCCTTCGTCTGTCATCATTCCTGTGGCACAAAAGCTCATTCTGGATGGATCCAACAGCGTTCGTCAACAGCTACTGAAGCTACTGCAAAGCTTGCCGCCACTCGACATCGCTAGCCACGCCGACCAGCTGTTACTCCACACAAGAGCTGCCATGACGCATTTAGCAACAGAAATTCGTTTGTTCGGCCTTGACGTGTTGGAATGGTTGCTTGCCGTTGCAGGCGATGAGGTCGTCAGCTGTGCTGGAGGTTGGGTGAAGATGCTCAAATGCTTCCTCAGTTTACTCGGTTGGCAGAGCGAAGCGTCAAGCAAATGGTCAACTGCCAAATCGTACGGAAAAGCTGATACGAAGATGCAAGTCAAGCAAATGAACGCCTTGACTTCCTTCCTCCGCGCAGGACTCTCCCACAGGCAGACAATAGTATCCGTCGACATCAGCGACAGCAATTTCCCACTTTGGCATACTCAACATCATATTCTTTCCGAGCGATCAAATGTTTATGCACATCTCAACTTGTTTGGCGCTGCAAGAGACGAGGAAGCAGAGATGTACGAAGACCGCGAAGATCGACAACGCTTATTCCGAGACCGAGCCGAGGCTGCAATCGTCGCAGGATTGGAGCAAGCTACCAAAGGTGGTGGAGAGTTGGGCAGAGCGGGTGCGCAACTTCGCAAAGCCGTGAAAGAAGGCATGGCGGACTTCTACCGGGAGGATCCAATAGCCTGAGAGTGCAATCTTCCAATTTACCCACTGCAAGGAATGGCGTGCCACGGAACCCTTCTAGAGACACGTGGGAGGACGGTCTCAAGTACTTCGTACTACCGGATAGCCGAAGGAGATCAACGGGAGTACCTCCAGAAGTGACACCGGATAATGTCTGGTGCTATCTTACAACAACGCCACCTACACCCCGGTCTCAGCACACGGAACCAGTCGCGAAAGTGGCGACGTCACCACCATCCCATGACAATCCGCGCAACACAAACATGAGCCTCAGGCTCACGAGTAGTCTGACGGAGACCGAAGCTAGCGCCATGACTCGAGGCGTGACCGGTCAATACATGTACTGTCAGCCTTGCGCATCAACATCTTCCTCGCCACCGGAACAGACACGAGAAGTCGTTTAGGCATTTCTGGTCGCCCTTTTCGCCCAGCGTTGTACCCCTCACTTTGCGTCACCACTTGAAGAACCCTTCACATCCAACGTCGTCATATTCACGGCTGGGAATGATCGAGAGAATCATACATGCCCAACATAGGGTGTAATCGAGCGAATTCGGGTACGGCAGTATAGAACGACAGGAGCGTTTAGAGTCGGAGTTTGTAGAGAGCCAGGTTACAATCGCGAAACGTAAACATCCAGTCAACTCAGAATTTTATCGAGAATATCGCCTAGCTTCAGGCTTGTCACACACAATGAACACAACGGCAGCATCGCCTGGATTGCAGGAAGACGAACCGGCGCTGACTGATGAGAAAGCCGATGTCGACGCGGGTCTAGTCCCTCCCACAGACTGGATTGGAATACCTCCTTTGCATCACCAAACGGAGTTATGGATTCCCGATACAGCCGAGGAGCTTGCCCGCCAAACAGCTTCTTCGGCGGTGCATTTCCCAGAAACCCGGCAACGGCATCGTGGCACGGCTTCACCTCGTAGGGCCGATGTATCGTGGGAGGATATGCCTTCTCATCTTGTCCCATTTGTTCCTTATATAGATAAGAAGAAGGAAAAGACGACCATCGGTATACCAGCTCCTGATGAAGGGACTATGGATGTCAACATCATCCGAACGTGGATAGATCGATGCCGACAACTACACGGAGAACAATGTCATGGTAGCAGGACCTCACAGATGCATTCGCCTTTCCCGTCCTATTTGATCGACGTCGAGCTTGGATGTCTAGTAGTTGCACCTAAGCACCCACGTTACGTCGCTTTGAGTTATGTTTGGGGTGGGGCGGAGACTTCAGCTTGCGCTACGATGGCGAACCTGGCAGCACTTCAAAAGCACAACGGACTGTACAGCGGGGTTATATCATTGCCCAATCTTCTTCGAGACGCCATTAGTTTGGTGAAGGATTTGGGTCTTACCTATTTATGGGTGGATCGAATTGCCATTGTCCAAGACGACGAAGCCACCAAACACCACCAGCTGAGTGCCATGGGAGAGATATACGCCGGATCACTTTTTACTTTAGTCGCAGCTCAAAACGAGGAAGCAGCTGCGAGTCTTTATGGACATCGGAAAATGACCCTTACTCCAAGTGGGACTACAATAACACAAGGACTCAGGAAACCGGACGGAAAGCCACTGAGTGGTGCGCAGTACATGACAAAACAAGCAATGTCGCTGATGGAAACGAAATGGTATTCGCGAGGTTGGACTTTCCAGGAATACATATTTTCTACACGAAGGGTCATCTTCCAAAACAATACAGTCAATTGGGAGTGTCTCTGTGCTTCTTGGCATGAATGCCAGGATTCTAAATCATCATCGCTACTCTCTACTGGAACCCCCAACCCAACCTCGAACCCTACAGCAATCCAATTGGACGCGCCTGTTGCTGGACTGAACAGTTCACCTTGGCCAGACATGATTCGTTATACGCGTCTCATGACCTTGTTCAATGAACGAGATCTGACTTTCCCAGAAGATGTTCTTGACGCTTTCGTGAGTTGTCTCGCACATCTGAGCAGCATATTCCCAGGCGGTTTCATATCCGGTTTGCCGACGATGTGCTTCGACGCCGCGCTATTGTGGCAGCCATGGGCATATCTGAAGAGACGGAAGCCCCGTCGACTGCCTGCTGACGACATCGTTCTACCTTCATGGTCTTGGGCAGGATGGGAAGGCATCATCAACTCTGAAAGCTGGAGAAGTGCTGCCAACTACCAGATTGAGTACTTGCCTGAATCAGAGATACCCCAATTTACTTCCTGGAGAACCTTCAGCACGGTGGACTGGACGTACTCTAAGACGTTAACATCGGAGCGGTACCCAATCAACATCCCTTCGCAGTTCAGGAGGCCGGCTTTCACCAAGCTTGGGGATGATCTTCCTCCAGGATGGTCCATGTCTGCGAATCTGGGAGAAGATGTTCATGCAGTCCGACACTCATGCGACCCATCCGCATCCTTTCGCTATCCGATTCCGATCCTCGGCCAAACAGGACGCCGGCAACCTGTGATCAATGCTCGCTACCTGCACTGTATCACGAGACACGCCTTCCTCGCGCTAGGCAAGGAGTTCCTCAACACAACATCGGGCTGTCCTTCCGTGCAGCTCCTCACCAAATCCGGCCGATGGGCTGGGTGTCTCCGACTCAACTTCATACCTTCTCATGCGCGCGACGAAACATCAACACCGTCTACCCCGACTCTGAAACATCGCTCTCGGGATACGTCTAAAGCTCTTCCCAGCTTTGCTTTCACCACCCCTTCGCCGTCTGAAGTCGCGGATGCGCTCTTCGACCCTGATCGAATTGAAAACGAGTTGTGTGAGCTTATCGAGATATCTGCTGGCTCGGTGGAGAATTGGGAAATCGATGCGCGAAGCTTCGATGAATGGTATCAAGATGGCGCCTGGGTTAAAGGACTGTACGAGTTCGTCAATGTACTCTGGGTAACGCGGGTGGAAGGAGTCGCATATCGCAAAGCGCTTGGGAGGATTCAGAAGGATGTGTGGGAGAACGAGGCGAAGGATGAGATAGAAGTCACGCTCGGATGAGCGGGTCCAGCATAAAAGTGCTGCGCGGTCAGTCTCATGAACGGGCCGGGCAGGAGTTTCTGTGTTTGTCGAGCGGCTTTCGGTTAAGTTCCTCGCGCTATCAGTCTATTGAAGCGCGCACGTGCAAAAGCATGTTCAGACTAGAGGTGCCAATAGCCCTGGAGGCAGGAGCACCTGCACTTGTAGTTGGCAGCGCAAATTGATAAACACTGTCGCGCAATAACGGGAAGCCATGAGATGGTTCGCTACTTCTCATTCCGGCCTCGCATATTCTTCGTGTACAATCTAGCAGACTGAGATATAGGCACACGGGTCAGCGGCAGAGTGAAAGATACAAGCTCAAAGGTACTATGGATGGGCGGTCCTGATCGCGGTGTTGAGCTGCACTTTTGATTACGTCACAGCACTAAACATGTCGGCGCGGGACGCGCTCGCCCAGGCCGAAACATTGCTGATACTGCCGACAAACACTGGTGTGCTGGCCACATTGATACACATAACCCTCCATATCTCTCGCCTTCTCTTCTGCCTTGATCACATCTGCGATACATCTTCCCACCCTCTTGCCATTGCTTAATCGCTGGTGTGGACATTCGTAACCAATCGCAACGCGACCATGTCGATAGTATCGCAGACCCTGCAGGGTGCAGTGCTGAGCATAACTTCAAACGTGCTTGCGCAAGCCATATCATCCTACAAAGACAGCGTACGTGCTGTTGCGCAATCGTCCATGTCCTGGCGCATGTAGCTGACACGTGTCCAGACGCCCTTCACCCTCAACTATGCCACCGTCTTCAAGTTCGCGCTCTTCAGCGTCCTCAGCACCCCACCCAACATAGTCTGGCAAGGCTACCTCGAAGACCAATTCCCTACCAACGTGCCCTCCGCCGCCCCACCATCCGAGAAGCCAGGCTCGAAGCCCGACCCCACCAAGACGTCGCTCAGCAAGACAAACGTCCTTATCAAGTTCCTGCTTGACCAGACCATCGGCGCCGTCGTCAACACGCTCATGTTCCTGAGTTACATGGCCTACGTCAATGCGCAGGGCAAGCCGGGCGTCAACGCCATGGACGTGGTCACGAGCGACTGCGCGAATAAGCTGTGGCCGATGATGAAGGACGGATACAAATTCTGGCCCGCGATAAGCCTTATCAGCTTCCTGTGGGTGCCAGTAGACAAGAGGATCGTCTTCGGCTGCTCTGTGGGCGTCGTGTGGGGCATATACTTGAGTCTGGCCGTGGGCGCATAGATACGAGTGCGATGTGAGCGCGCGTTGTGGAGATGGATGTCTTAAGCGATGTATACCCACCCAGCGTGAATGCGTTCCTGGGGCGCCGAGTGCGCGAATAAGCTGGAATCGCGAAAAGGTTCGGTTCTGCTGGTCTGTACCACTCAACGCGAACACCTATCCTATACCTTAAAGGCATCCCGTGCTACCTTTTCGTATCGTTCACGTGAAACAGTGGGCATTTCTGAAGTATCCTTTCGGTGGTAGGTACAACTACGCGCGACCGAGCTTCATCTTCTTGAGCGGTTCTTCCAATCGGTACACCCTGAACTACCAACTCTCTCCACAGTACTCGCACTAGGCTGACAACCACCATATTTACCTTACGGCACCGAAGAGGCTTTTTCGCCTTCGCGGTGGAGCTTTACAAAAATGATACTCCAGTACCAAGGGACTTGGTCTTTCCATTGCACAATCAGAATTGACCGTCCGCCAACGTCTAGTAAGGCGTACGCCATCTGAACATGTGCTCCACACAACCACTTCAACAGCAATTACTGGTCACAGCATTTCGATGTGTGCGCATTTGGAAATTTTCATACTAACCGAGATCAAATCAACGTACAAGAAAAGATCTCCTGCTGTATAACCATCTCTCAAACACCTCACCATCCGCACATCATGGAGCATCCCTCAGAGCTCTCTGAGAAAATTACTGACGCCCCCGAGGGGGGGCCTTCAACGCAAACACCGAAGTCCAAGGGTAAGCAAAGCTCCAATGGCAAGGAGTCCGTCGCCAGTGGCTTCAAGTACGGACCCGTGCCAGGTCAGTACTTCCGTTCACGACGCGTGAAGCCCGAGGATGTCGGGATGCCGTGGCTCGACAAGCCGCACCCAAGGCAAAAATGGGGAACGATTCTTCCCCTCGTCGGCTTTGGTCTGGGCCTGATGGTTACGGCCATTATGATCTGGGACGGTTTCCGGGTCATCGGCAAGCACAAGTACTGCCAAATCTTCCACGACGATTTCAAGTCACTGAACGAGACCGTCTGGACTAAGGAAGTCGAGTTGGGCGGCTACGGGTAAGTCACTTCCGACCATTGGCATGCATTGACTAACTCGGATATACAGCAACGGCCAGTTTGAGATGACTACTGGCACGGATGAGAACGTCTTCGTCAAGAACGGTGAACTTATCATCAAGCCGACTCTCCAAGAGGAGCAGTTCCTTGGAAGCAACTACACCCTTGACCTACGTGGCCATGGATGCACTGGTTCCAGCTGGAGTGACTGTGTTGCCACCACCAACACGACCAACGGCACCATCATCAACCCCATCAAGTCTGGTCGCATCAACACCAGGCGCGGCGCCTCAATCAAGTACGGCCGTATCGAGGTCGTCGCCAAGCTGCCATCTGGTGATTGGCTGTGGCCCGCTATCTGGATGTTGCCCAAGGACAACGCATATGGCCCTTGGCCTCGCTCTGGTGAGATCGATATCGCCGAATCTCGCGGCAACGATCCCAGTTACGCTCAGGGTGGCAGGAACGTTGTCTCGAGCACGTTGCACTTTGGTCCCGATTCCAACCATAACGGCTGGTGGCGCAACAACGTCAAGCGCGAGGCGCTACACACTACATACGCCGCGGGTTACAACACTTTCGGTATTGAGGTAAGTCTCATATGTCTCTGTCGTCTTTTCGTCAGTACTAACCAAACTTCCAGTGGAGTGAGAAGTACATCTTCACCTACATCAACACGCGCCTGCTCCAGGTCATGTACACACACTTCGACCAGCCCTTCTTCAAGTACGGAAACTTCCCCCAGGCCGATGCCAACGGCACCCGTCTCGACAACCCCTGGAAGCACGCCGAGAGCAACGCCGCTCCCTTCGACCAGGAGTTCTACCTCGTCATGAACCTGGCTGTCGGTTCCACCAACGGATGGTTCGAGGATGGCAAGAGCGGTAAGCCATGGATTGACAAGAGTCACCGCGCCAAGCTCGACTTCTGGGAGGCCAAGAACCAGTGGTTGCCTACGTGGAAGGACGGCGGACAGATGAAGGTTAAGAGTGTTACCATGTGGCAGCAAGGCGGACACAACGGGTGCAAGGCTTAATGGAATTTAACGCTTTTGGGGGAAGGGGATGACTGGATTAGTGGACTTGACTCGTTGTCGGAAGTACTGCGCAGGTACAAGTCCGTATGGAGGACCTCGCTGATTGTAATCGTACTATCTAATGCAACGACTTTGTCTCAAGGGATCCATGCTATCGTGATTTCGTTCCTTGTACGCACTTTGACGAATACGGCTTCATCGCAAGCCATGTTCAACGGTGGCTCAACTGCTATCCTTAACAGGCAGTCGACGAACTCTATTAATATAGATATATGCGAAAATCGTCGTGAGGTCTCACGTACTCTTTGACGGAACAATAGGCACGCAAGTCATGTACGCCCGTAAAGATGGAAGCTAGTGTTCAGTTGGGAAGGTGGGATGGCCCCCGGCTTACCATTTCGGGCTATCACGACCAGGCACCCACTTTTCCACTTCTAACATCTACACGCCTATCTTGAGTGCAACGTCCGATGTTCGCAGCGCGCATACTTGTGACTAAGCCCGGTATCATCCGAACTATACGCGTTACTTCTCTCAGTCGCGCTGCTTGAACGATTCATCACCAAAAGCGCTCTTATTCCATCGGTCCAACCAGCATCTCGTACACATCGCAACCATGCCGTACTCTCCCAAAGTAGGCGATTCGCTAGACTCGCTAGATACGCCATCAATGATCGTGGATTTAGATCTCATGGAATCCAACCTGGATAAACTCATGAAACAACTCCTCCCCACTGGCGTCAACATCCGCCCACATCTCAAGACGACGAAATCCGCTATCCTTGCGAAGAAAATGGTCAAAGCGGGCGCAAAAGGAGGATGCGTAGCGAAACTCTCCGAAGCAGAAGTCATGTGCGAGAAAGGCTTCACAGACCTCCTAATAACCTGCGAGATAATCGGCGCAGCAAAGGTGGCGCGATTAGTGGAGCTAGTCAAGAAGTACAAAGACGTGCGGATAGTCGTCGACAGCATAGAAGGCGCAAGCGCAGTCGAGCAAGCCCTATCAAAAAACGGCTTCGAAGGCACCGTCATGACGCTCATCGATCTCGATGTGGGATTACACCGCACGGGTGTGCAACCGGGTCAGCCAGCCTCGGACCTAGCACGTTTCGTCGCCGGCTCAAAGCACCTCAAACTCATCGGCGTACAAGGGTACGAGGGACATTTGCAACACATCCACGGTCTTGAAGAGCGCAAGAGCCAGTGTCTGGAGAGCATGAAGATTCTTACCTCTACAGCCGAAGCGCTGAGAAAAGAAGGTTACGCAATCGATGTCGTGACGACTGGTGGGACGGGCACAGCGGAGTTTTGTGTCACGGTCCCTGGAATCACAGAAGTACAGCCTGGCTCTTTTCTCTTCATGGATACGGATTATCGCAATGCTGTTGGTTCGACGAACTATGCGCAGAGTTTGACTATCTTATCGACGGTTCTCAGCAAGCAGGGCCCGAACATCATTACCATTGACGCGGGTCTCAAGTCGTTGACGACGGATTCTGGATTGGCGGAGTGCAAGACGCCGGGGTATACGTATGGTGTTCTGGGAGATGAGCATGGTAGTCTCGCTTGGGAGGAAGGCAAGGGTAAAGAGTTGAAGATTGGCGATAGAGTCGAGATGGTGCCTAGTCATATCGACCCAACGGTAAACTTACAC